TTTTTACTACTTCTTCTAGCTGCTCTACGAACCAGTCCTTCTTGGTAATCTCTGAGCACCTCGTTTGGTAGATAAACAATAGATGTAAACAATGGATCTTCGAAATGGTCGTCATCGAGTATTTGGTATACAAGATACGTATACTGTATACCTGCATAACGCAGTTGTAACTCCGTTATACCCGTATATTACACATGTCAGCAAAACACTCCCTAAATATTGATAAGTATTTATACCAGGTACACCTATCCAACGCATTAATCGACATACATCCGTATTCAATCTTTGTACCACTACATCACCATTTCAACCGCCGAGTCATCGGTGATTGCGAGACGATCCGAGGGATACTTTGCTGATCATCGACGATAAATTGCAAGTTTTATTATTAGAGTCTAAAATCAGCTACTGAGTAGCCTATATATTTGAAAGCAACTTCTGCATCACCTGTTGGAGTAGTAACTCAATAAGGAGATGACTTTGAACTCAGCAAAGTCCTAATCTACACGTCGAAATCCATGTACACTAGATAAATTACAAAAAAAATGCATTTATTGATCAGTATAGACACGAACGCGTAAGTACAGATGCATCGAAATGTGGTAAACACCGAAGTCCTAGAAAATTACGGGCTACCGTATACAGTGGTGCTCGGTGGTCCAACTTGACTTGTGCTGACGCTAGATCTTTGATCGTGACTTTAGTGAGAGTGTGTTCTGCGTCGAGGGGCATTTCGGGTGCTTAGCTGCAAACGTGCTCTTCGGTTGTCCCTGTACTCTTCACGCTTTCTTTTTTCGCTGCTTCAATTTCCTCATCTATCTCTACAAGCCGAGCATCATGGCGCAAATGAAATTCTCCTTCCTCACGACGTAAGGGGGCGCACCGTACACTGTAGTTCGTCAGAGCCAAACAAAGCATGAAGAATCGGTTGTAAGATCCTTTGTCCCAGGCCCACTGATGCGAAATAAACCCCCAACACGTCTTCCTTCTACACACTCTCACCAAAGTCACGATCGAAGATCTAAAAGTTCTCGACGATAACTCGGTCGTGTGTGATCTTATCGTTTTCATCTCGCTCACTTGGGGAAAGCGTCAGTTTACCTTTCGCTTTCTTTTTGGGTTGTATAGTTCGATACTCGTCTCCCAGACCTTGATACCCGTTGTCAACCAGAACACCCCAAAATGCTTCGAAATTATCGACATCAGGGCCGTCATCGTAGAGAGTTCCTTCATCTTGTTGCTTCGCAACGCTGACCAGTGAAATTCAGCGTTCCCGTTGAACATGGTAATGTCAGATACCGCGCCAGGCTCGAACGCAGAGCAATTAATTGCCAGTCCGTGTTTTCCAACTTTCACGAGGTGATGAAGTATTTCATCACCTCGTGAAAGTTTCCAGTGGGGCGAACGGCATGTTGGAACGTGACGTCAGTTGCGTATCGAGCGCACGGGTAGTTCGCAAAGGCGTGCCCAATAACCGTTATCTTCTTCATGCTCCAGAGTGCCTCATGTCCTTTGACTAGGTGCGTGTACAAGAAGGGTTCGTACATGTCGATGTACTTCTTTATCATCTTCTGAAATGCCGAGGCATCCATGTCAAACATTGATGACACTGTTTCCCAGTTTCCACAATGCTTCAGCGCAGCTAGCATCATGAAAAGCACGTCCTTTGGGGATGTCTTGCACTTCTTGCCTCTTCCCACGCCCCATTTAGATAAGACGTGATCTTCCGAGAGCTCCCATAGCCGTTCAAACTCAATGGGTGCAAAGTTGCACATTCTAAGCACACGATCGGGACCTTGTACGCGTAGACAGCGGTCTTACACGGGAGAAGCGGTCGAAAAATCAGCGTCAGAATCGCCGTCTCGGTCTGCTGCAATCTCGATCCTATTCAGAGCTCGAGACCTAACATCCT